TTTTGCTGATGATTTAGAGAACTAAAGTGAAAACGGCTGCTTTCCGGACAGTATGATGAAAAATATATTGTTTAATTGTTTGACAATTATTTTGTAACAGGGGAAGGAATACCTACTGCCAAAAAAACACACCGGTTATGCATATTTTTGCATGCCTACTTTTGTTTAGTTTAGTTATATCCTGGCACACAATGTCATGTTATGCATGGTGTCTTAAATTAGATTGAAGCTTCAATAATAAAATTCAAACATTAACTCAGATATGTTACAAAAATACCCCCGCCGCAGCAAACCTGCCGACTAAGCAAATTTCCATATGACTGAATTGATTTTCAATTAAATTTAAATAACATTAGGTTTAACGAGTACCTACCTGGGTTTGCTGCTACAACATTTTACCATATTCTCCATAAGAATAACATAGGTATTTTAAATTTACAATTTTTCGAATATTCTCTGTTACCTAAATTATTTGGTTGTTTAACCTCTTTAAGACAGTTTAGAGAGAAATTGATAAATTTGATATTTTGAGAGTCAAAAATGAGAAAAACGAATTTTTACCCCATAAAACCCCGTTACCATTGTCCGATCATGCTGGTTCACAAACTCGTAAAAGCTTATCCTGCCTTACACCTTTAAACCAAATTTTATCAAAATCGGACAAAAATTAATCAAGTTATAGTGTTCACGGACACACATATATATACATACTAGCAGAGTACCCGTCCTTCGTACGGGATTGGCATAAAAGTACAAAATGCTTATTGCAGTTATACTCAAGCTTTGCGTTTGCAATGAGGGAGGACACGATTTGATAAAATTTGCTTCTTTAAATTTACTGTATACTATAGTATTACACATCTACCATAACCATAATATTCTACTACTTCACCTAAACAATAGAGAAAAATAAACTGTTAAAGATCACAAAATGATTCATTAAATTAAAAACATAAAAGTAACTGTAAAGTAATCCTACTTTGACAGTTCTCGTTTCATATCATAGATTTTTGTTGTTGCTTAAAAAAAAATAATAGTGCTGGGGCAGCACTATACTGTTGATAAATCAAAGAGCTGTTGATAAATCTTATAACTTTTTAATGCTTTTGCATACTATAGAACCAACTTGTTAAGTTGAAACAGCTGACTAAATTCTTTTATTCCCTTTAAATATGAATACTCATAAGGTTAACATGGGGAACCACAGAGCCACTGGGGCGGAGCCCGAAAGGATTTTTGAGATAAGAATATGCCTATATGTTAATCGGGAATGTTAGCTGTAATCATGCCAAATTTCAGCCCAATCCGTCCAGTAGTTTATGCGTGATTGAACTTCAAACAAACAAACAAACAAATAAACAAACAAACAAACACACAAACTTTCACATTTATAATATTAGTAAGATAAGATATAAATAATTTATAAATGAAACCCCTTTTTAAAACAAAACGTTTTTAAACTCACTAAAAAGTAGAAAATAATTTATAATTATGTGGAGAGTATAAATACTTGTAAGATTTAAAACGACAAACGTGGGGTGCACGCAATAGATAATTTACAATTACCTTCACTTTTTGAACTAATGTATTATTATCAATTGCATGCACCACACATTTTCTTTTAAATCTTACAAATATTTATTCTCTCCACATATTTATAAATTATTTTCTACTTTTTAGTGAGTTTAAAAACGTTTTGTTTTAAAAAGGGTTTTTTATTTATAAATTATTTTCTACTTTTTAGTTTTTAATGTGTGTGGATGTTAAATCTATTTCAAGCATCTATATCAGATTAAGACAGAGGCATGTGGGAAATCTAAGGTTTATTTGAGTTTCTTTTCATATAATTATGTATTAGATTGAATGTATGACCTACTAACTATAAATATATCAATCTATTTAATTTACTGTTTACTTCATAGAGTAATAAATAAATAATAATTGACATTATTAACAAACACCGTTATATCTGTAATCGGATTGTTTATCTTTATTTTGAAATGTTTGTTTGTATTTGTACAAAGAATCTTTTGGGAGCATAACCTGTACCTGAGTGAAAATTTAAAAACGTACGTTGTCAGGAAAAGCACTTTGCAAAATTTTTTCCCCTTTTTTCAAAACTTTTATTAGTTTTTTTATTTCATTAACATTTGAAGTTTCATAAAATGTCCATGGTAATGCAATATCTTTGGTAGTTTTTTTTTTAAAGAGCATCTTTAGTGGAAAAACACAAAATCCTGTCACGACCATAACGGACGTTTAAATGAATATTAAAAATAGTTAATATTATTTTTATAACTATGTTTTGCTATAAACTAATTTACTTTTATGACCATTATACAATAAAAAGGTCACTAAGCTTTTGGTATATTTGGTCTTTCTAGAAAAAAAAAACTCAAAAAATTGAAAAAAAGCCAATAAAATATTTTAAAGTTTGTATAACTCCGAAAAAACTTACCTGAGACCCGAAAAATCGTTATGTTTGTATATAGGTGTGCTTCTTTTGTGTATAAAACATTGAAATATGACGATATTTTAATTTTTGAAATTTTTATGATAGAAATCATAAACCTGATGGTCAGGGACAAGCGGTACGGTCGTGTATTGTCTGAAATAATCTAAATCTGTCTAAACAATCCTTCAATTATACTGTTAGTTATAATAAAAATATGTGTTTCAATTGAACTAAACTGTTCAATTTACAATTATTATATTAAAGTTATTGTCACGACCAAACACACTATAATCCATAAGGCTGGATTGGTCGTGAAAAAACCCGCGATGGTCGTGAAACTTTGGTCGTGAAATTACGTGTTATTTGGCTCTGTTCTGGCGGTAGCCCTGCACCTCATGTTTGAGGATACAAAGTGGACTTCTAGGTTAATCTAGCAATTGAAATATCTTATAAACAAAAATTAACACCATGTCTACTTCATCGAATGACTACGTACGGTCATACACACCAAAATTACAAAAAACACAATCTTTCCTTTATTAATCTTGTAATTCCTCCTTTCAACTCGAAACGACCGGCACTACAATCCTGACGTACACCCCGAACTAGTCTCTAAAACCAACTGACTCCATCGACGCCAGGCTTGCCACTGTCGTGCTCCAAAGTTGAAAATTTTTCCCAAATGGTCGTGACGCCAAATCGAGGGACAGACTTATTTTGTCATGGTAGTCAGTTTGCAATGACAATAAAATTATAATATGCTCCTTTTTTGTAAGTTTAATAACCATTGATGACATAAAAATATGGCTTTATATATTTCGGCATGAATAATTAGTCTAAAAACAGCGTGAAAGTTGGAAAATGTACCCTAGGGACACGTCATGGTCGTGAATTTTGAGACTTTAAAAATACGAAAAAATACCTAGAACCTATTTAAAACTAAATAAATGTGTGTAACATGTTGCCCCCATCCCAAAAAATATAAAAACACATAATAATAAACTACAAATCCAGTATCTACGAAGTAAAAAGCCAGGGACATGAAAACGTACGTTTTTAAATTTTCACTCACCTCTTAACCTCTGCTCCTCGAACTGTCAAATTTAAGTATTTACAGCTGACTTTAATGAATTGATATATTTACATTCTTTCAAAATGCAAACATGGAAAATTTGGAAGCCCATGGGGCGTAGCCCAAGGGAAATATAAAAATGAAATTATATAATATTGCATTGTCATCCATTTGTGAGCTATGTTTCAAATTTCAAGTCTCTAGCTCATCAGGAACTTCGTTTAAAATTGATATCAAAACTTGTAGGAAAGCAAGCTAATAAAAACAAGCCCATGGGGCGTAGCCCAAGGAAAATATGAAAATGAAATTATATAATATTGCATTGTCATCCATTTGTGAGCTATGTTCCAAGTTTCAAGTCTCTAACTCATCGGGAAGTATCAAAATTTGCAAGAAAACGAATTAATAAAAACAAGCCCATGGGGCGTAGCCCAAGGGAAATATGAAAATTTAATGATATAATATTGCGTTGTCTTCCATTTGTGAGCTATGTTTCAAGTTTCAAGTCTCTAGCTCATCGGGAAGTTAGTATAAAATTGATATAAAAATTTGTACCGGACAAGAAAGCGAGCTAATAAAAACGTTTTAAAATGTTAACGAATTGTGATTTGGCCTCTGTGGACATCAAAATGAAAAAGTAAACCTGTCCGGGGCCTAGGTCTTATCGTGCTACCTAGGGTAATACCAACTTACCTATAGGGAAATTCGCTAATAGGCTATTATTTGCCAATGTCTTATTTTAAAATACCCCTGCCGCAGCAAACCTGCCGACTAAGCAAATTTCCATATGACTAAATTGATTTTCAATTAAATTTAAATAATATTAGGTTTAATGAGTACCTAGGAGGCTGCTACAACGAAATTAATAAATATTTTGTTTTTTAATAAAATATCAATAGGTTGGTATAAACTTAAGATAAATGAACGTTCCAAGTTTGATCAAAATATATCCATGCATAAACAAGCAAACTACATCATTTTACAATATTCTCCATAAGAATAACATGGGAATTTTAAATTTACAATTTTTTAAATTTTCTCCGTTATCACTATCCGCACAAAAACACTTTGATATACTAAATTATTAGATTTTTACAATTTTTTTACCCCATAAAACCCCCGTGAAACTCCGTTCCCATGGTCCAATCATGCTGGTTCGCGAACTCATTCAATTTTATCCCGCCTTAACACCAAACCAAATTTTATCAAAATCGGACAAAAGATTACTCAAGTTATCGCGTTTACGTGTATATATATACATATAGGTATAAAAATTTGATCGAATGGTGTTTTTGGCCTCTGGGGACATCAAAATGTAAAAGGAAATCGGTCCCGGGCCTAGGTCTTACCTTGCCACCTACGGTAATAGCTACCTATATAGGGAAATTTGCTAAAATTATCTCCAACTCTTAGTTGAAACGGTACTGAATGTTGAATCACATATGTAGTCTTACTAATTATTAGTGAACTCACGTTTTGTATACTTTGTCTGTCATAACATTATTTTTAGATTCATTCACTGTAGCTAATTCCAAATTATGTTCAGATGTTTTACAAATCCATTTATGTGTTTTTCTATTCTCAATTTCAGATAAAATTTTACTTGTAAGTAGGTTTAAAGCTTTTATTTCAAACTTCAGTTTATCTGAGTATGTTCTATTTCTTGAGTCAAAAGTCTTCCTTAGATTGTCCATTATATTACTTTAAAATCTGCTACAAAAATAATCAATCTGTCAAAAAAGACACATCACATAATATTTCATTTCTATCACCTGTTTTGTTTTATATAACATGTTTATTTTATTAGTTAATAATACAAAAATATTGATCTTTCTGACAGGTACTAGCATGAGTTGCATTTCCATATTTTATTTAAAAAATCATGCATATGTGTATAACCGTTTGCAGCTATTCTTAATTTGTAATGCAATGGATCAGAGATCTATATTTTTCAACATGTGATAGTTTTTTACTTGGATACTACTAGTTTTTTAAAGATCCTATAAATTAAAATTTATTTTTTAAATTGACATTGTCCAAGAACAGAATTAGTGGGGGATGGGATATGTTATCGATAAATCAATTTAAGTTTCAGCTCCTCAATATCTAGAAATCAAATTCTGTGATTAAGGATCTCACCAAGTAGTTTTCAACAAGCAAAAACTGCTGTCGGGGAAATCCCAGTGAGCATTATTGAGGGAAGTAGAAAATTACTACCCATGTCCGTTTTATTCTTCTTTAAATTATTACAACCACACAATACTGCTGTCAATTTGTTTAGAATTTTGTGTCTTATTATTGTATTTAACAAGTTTATAATTTAATGTTCTACCATTGACTTTTTTACCCATACAAGAACCTCTTTCATACTACATGTTTTTTCAGATAGGATGCTAGGGGCAACTTGTTTTAAATTATTATAGTCTTAATTCCCAAATAACATTCTTAGAGTTTATTTATGAGCACCACTTATTATTATGATCAAAGATATGTTACTAGTATATTTTCCAGAGACCATGAATTATTTATAGGCAGAACACACACATCAATTAAGTTATAGAAGAATTACAAATATCTTCCCCATTAAATTCATTAATCTAATAGCTATGCAATGCAAACAGAACTTCTTTAATCTGTAAACATAGTAATATAATAATAATAATACTGCCCCATCATTTGAAGGGGTTTTATAATAATATAAGGTTTCAAGTGTCCAATATGACTATACATTCTCTTCAGCAACAGTTAAGAGCCACCCTAGCTCTATCTCGGTTCTGTGCTCTCTTCCCTGTTAGAGGAGTTATGCAAATTGACTCATCCAAACTCAGGTAATGGAAGCAATTTTATGCTGATCTATATTTAAACTAGCTGTACCCACGGGCTTTGCCCCGTTTAACTTCATAAGTATTCGCATGGCTCAATCACGTCCCGGTTGAAGTTTGTTCGCTACGCTCACTCACCTTTAGGTTGGAGCTCGTTCGCTGCGCTCACTTGTTTTCAGGTTAGCTCGTTCGCTACGCTAACTTGCCTCCAGGTTGATGTTTGTTCGCTACGCTCACTCACCTTTTGGTTACAAATTAGCTGTTGTCATAAATTGTAAAAAGTCATTCCTTTTATTGTTTATAATACTTTGATAAAAGTTTTTATGTTTTAATATTTAACATTGGAGAATTTAAACGTTGTTAAGTGCACAGGTGTGCTGTAATGGGGTTTAATAGATTTGGACTTATTCAAAAGTAAAATAGTTTTCTGTGCTGCACTCTGTAGAAACACTGTGGCACTATTTCAAATCATGACTAATGCTAATACAGAATGTTGTAATTATTCAAACCTACAAAACAGTTGGTGAAAGTAAACATCTGCTTTTAAATTTTATTTATTTGTAAACATTGTACATCAAAAAGTCTGACATTGGCCCACTTAAAACCCTCTGGGGCAGAGCCCTTTTGACAGATCTGCACCAAACTTCACTCGAACCATCCTTGAAAGATGCTTAATAATGCCTGAAAGTTTCATTACAATCTGTCAAAGCGGTTTCGGAGTCCATAACGTAAACATATATATATATACACACACACATACATAGTTCCTCTTTTATAGATATAGATATGCTAACTGCTAGAATCATTGATCAAGGGGTTTATTATGTCAAACACCTGACATGTGGATACTTGTACGGAATACACTTATATTACATTTGGTTTTAACTATTAAGATCTTTTAGCGAATTTTCCTATAGGGAAGTAGCTATTACCGTAGGTCTCATGGTAACACTTAGGCCCGGGACCGATTTACTTTTCATTTTGATGTCCCAAGAGGCCAAAAACACCATTCGTTCAAATTTTTATATATGTATATATATATATATATATATAGATTTATATATATACTAGCAAAGTACCCGTCCTTCGTACGGGGTTGGAATATAAGTATAAAATGCTTATTGCAGTTATACTCAAGCTTTGCGTTTGCAATAAGGGAGGACACAGTTTGATAAAATTTGCTTTTTTAAATTTACAGTATTCTATAGTTACACATCTACCATAGCCATAATGTTCTACCACTTCACCTAAACAATAGAGAAAAATAAATTATCAACAATTCGCAAAATATCACAAATTATTCATGAAATGAAAAACATAAACATAACTGTAAACAATCCTACTTTGACAGTTCTCTTGTGAATCACAGTTTTTTGTTGCTGCTTAGTTCAAATTAGCTGTTTTCATAAATGCAAAAAAATATAGTGCTGCACCCTGTTGGTAAATCTTATAACTTTTTAATACTTTTCCATATCATAGAACCAACTTTTTTAGTTGAACTGCTGACTAAATTCCTTAACTCCCCTTTAAATGAATACTCATAAGGTTAACATGGGGAATTACAGAGCCACTGGGGCGGAGCCCGAAAGGATTTTTGAGATAAGAATATGCCTATATGTTAATCGGGAATGTAAGCTATCATCATGCCAAATTTCAGCCCAATCCGTCCAGTGGTTTATGCGTGATTGAACTTCAAACACACAAACAAACAAACACACAAACTTTCACATCTTACTAATATTATAAATCTGAAAGTTTGTGAGTTTGTGTGTGTGTGTGTTGCTCAATCACACATAAAATACTGGACGGATTGGCTGAAATTTGGCATGATGATAGCTCACATTCCCGATTAACATTAAAGCATATTCTTATCTCAAAAATTTCGGGCTCCGCCCCAGTGGCTCTGTAGTTCCCCATGTTAACCTTATGATTTTTCATGTTTAAAAGGAATTAATGAATTTTAACAGCTGTTTCAATTAAACAAGTTGGTTCTGTTCTATGATGTTCAATAACATAAAAGTTACAAGGATTACCAACAGGGTGCAGTACTATTATTTTTTTTTTAATTTATGATAACAGCTAATTTCCAACCAAACGGTGAGTGAGCGTAGCGAATGAACTTCAACCTGGAGGCGAGTTAGCGTAGCAAACGAGCTAACCTGAAGGCAAGTGAGCGCAGAGAACGAGCTCCAACCTAAAGGTGAGTGAGCGTAGCCAACGAACTTCAACCAGGACGTGAATGAGCCATGCAAATACTTATGAAGTTAAACGGGGCAAAGCCCGCGGGTACAGCTAGTTCATAATATTAGTAGGTAAGATATATACATATATGTGTCCATAAACATGATAACTTGAGTAATTTTTATCCGATTTTGATGAAATTTGGTTTGAAGGTGTAAGGCGGGATAAACTTGAATGAGTTCGCGATCCAGCATGATCCGACCATGGGAACAGGGTTTTATGGGGTAAGAATTGGTTTTTCTCACTTTTGACCCGCAAAACACAAAATTTCCCAATTTTTCTCTAAACCTTCTTAAAGAGCTTAAAAACCAAACAATTCAGTATACCAAAGTGTTTTACTACGGTTATTGGTTAGGTTACGGAGAAAACTAAAAAAAATGGTAAATTTAAAATTCCCATTTTATTCTTATGGAGAATATTGTAAAATGTTGTAGTTTGCTTGTTTATGGATATCTGTTGATCAAACTTGGCAAATATATTCATTTTATACTAAGCAATAATTATTTTACTTAAAACACACACTTTATTAGTTTCCTTGTAGCAGCAAACCTAGGTACTCATTAAACCTAATGTTATTTAAATAGATCAATTGAAAATCAATTCAGCCAAACAGAAATTCGCTTAGACGGCAGGCTTGCTGCGGCGGGGGTATTTATGCCTTAGAATTAATATTGTTTTAGAACTATAGGACACATGCTGCTCCGCAGCGCTGAAATAAATATCATGTCCGAGAACGGGAATGATATGAGGCCCAGCTTCAAGGCAGAACTGTACATGTATGTGGAATCCCGCAGTCCGAGACACCAATTCTAGTTGTTAACTTCAGATCTTGTAGTGTCCTGCCTGTATCAAAGTACCGCAATGTTTTGCCGTTAACGTTTTGTGAGGCTTCATGAATTGCCCCATAACAGTGTCTTGATTGGCAATAAAAATTGCAACCATTCTTTATAACGCCAGGTAAGTTAGTTCGTCCATTCGTAAATAGAGTGTGACGGCTGGTGAACAATAAAGTTAAATGTAACATCAAAAATATTGAGGTTAACAGTTTGTAGTGATAATGATGTAAACTGCATATGAATATTTTCTTTGTAATGACTGTTGTTTGTTTTGTAATCACAGGTGGTGTCCAGTTCTTGCTCTGTACTGGCTGGTCACATGGTGTGGTTTAACATTCGGACTGTACTGTTTGTACCCTGTCATTACCTTTAGGAATCCTAATGGTAGCCTTTCTGCTATTTCAAATTGTAAATGCAAAAATCATTGATATATAATATATATAAGATAATAATAATAATAATATATAAGACTGCACCCTATATATATATATCTCTTATATATATATAGGGTGCAGTCTTGCTTTCCTACTGATTAATTAACAGTATGCATTTGTGATTGTGGTAAACAGCAATATTGTTTTTTGTTTGCTAGTTTCAAAGATATGATTTGAGTAGGACTACTTTTAGCAAATTTCCCATATAAGGAATAAGCTATTACCATAGTACTCATGGTAAGACCTGGACCCGGGACCAATTTCATTTTTCGTTTTGAGGTCCCTAGGACCAAAAACACCATCCGTTCAAATTCATATGTATATATATTTATTTATATATATATATATGTGTAGTTGGTGAAAGAAAACATCTGCTTTTAAATTATATTTATTTGTAAACATTGTAGTTCAAAAAGTCTGACATTGTCCCACTTAAAACCCTCTGGGGCGGAGCCCTTTTGACGGATCTGCACCAAACTTCACAAAAACCATCCTTGAAAGATGCTTAATTCCTGAAAGTTTCATTACAATCTGTCGAGCGGTTTCGGAGTCCATAACGTTCAAACATATATATATATATATATACATACAAACTTCCTCTTTTATAGATATAAGATGTGTCCGTTAGTGCGATAACTCGAGCAATACCCCCGCTGCAGCAAACCTGCCGACTTAGCAAATTTCCATTTTCCTGGATTGATTTTTAATTACCGTATTAATCTATTAAACTAACATTTATGTTTAACGAGTACCTACCTAGGTTAGCTGCTACAGGGAAACTAATAAAGTGTGTTTTTGATTAAAATATCAATAGCTTAGTATAAAATAAATGAAAACACCAAGTTTGTTCAAAATTTATCCATAAGCAAGCCAACTACAACATATTATAATATTTTCCATAAGAATAACATGGGAATTTTAAATTAACAATTTTTTGAATTTTCTCCGTAACCAATTATTGTACAAAAACACTTTGATTTACTAAATTATTTGTTTTTTTAAGCTCTTTAAAAAGGTCTTAAAAAATTGATAAATTGTGTGTTTTAAGGGTAAAAAATGAGAAAAACCAATTTTTACCCCATAAAACCCCGTTCCCATGGTCCGATCATGCTGGTTCCCGAACTCATTCAAGTTTATCCCACCTTACACCTTTAAAACTAATTTTATCAAAATCGGACAAAAATTACTCAAGTTATCGTGCGGATGGGCACACACACATACATATAGTATATATGTACATATATAAAAATTTGAACGAATGGTGTTTTTGACCTCTGGGGACATCAAAATGAAAAAGACAGTAAAAGCTACTTCCCTATAGGGAAATTCGCTAAAAATTATCCGATTTTGATGAAATTTGGTACAAACATGTAAACCTACGTTTATTCAAACGAGTTCGTGAACCAGCATAATCGGACCATGGGAACAGGGTTTATGGGGGGTTTTATGGGGTAAAAAATTTTCCCATTTTTGACCCTAAAACAAAATAATTTGGAATTTCTTTTTAAACTGTTTTGTAGAGCTTAAAAAAAGAAATAATTTAGTACATTGAAGCGCTCTTGTATGCCTAACGATCACGGAGAAAATTCAAAAATAGTGTAATTTAAAATTCCCATGTTATTCTTATGGAGAAAATGAAAACTTGTAGTTTACTTGTTTATGGATATATATTGATAATACCCCCGCCGCAGCAAACCTGCAGACTAAGCAAATTTCCATTTGCCTGATTGGATTTACACTAAAATGTCTACTTAAAAATATAACATTTATTTCCTATTTAAATAGAATTAGTTTAACAAGTAAGTTACTTAGGTTTGCTGCATCAGGGAGGGTACATTTTTTTATGTTAATAGCATAGATAAAACATGCTCCCTTAGTAGATTTCTCATCCTTATGGAACAGCTGAAGACAATTTCATTGTTAGTTCATGTACGGTTTATGTAGAGGTCGTGTTTTGTTTACAATTTGTTTCCCGTTATTGCAGCCATTTAAAACCTCGTTTAACCAAATATTACGATCTAATCATAAACAATAACTTGTCCCCTAGTTATATAACCAAACAGTAAAGCACAAATCAAGAAATTAACCCTGAAATAATGGAAACAAAGTTTGATCGACACTAGCGCCGTTGTGTCACCGAACAAGAACTAGACACGAAAAACGTGCTTCAAAATTTACAATGGGATGAGAAGTCTACTTGTGTTGGTTAGTCTATGTTAATAGTTAGTAAGAAATAAAAACATTTTCCAAATTTGATCAAAATATGTTTATAAACAAGCAAACTACAAAAGTTTACTTGTTCTCCATAAGATTAACATGGGAGTTTTAAATTTTCATTTTTTTGGAATTTTTTCTGTAACCATTAGGCGCATAATAACGCTTCAATATACTAAATTATTTGTTTTTTTAAGCTCTACAAAATGGTTTGGAAAGAAATTGCTAAATTTTATGTTTTTTGGGTCAAAAATGGGAAAAACCTATTTTTACCCCATAAAACCCCCGTTCCCATGGTCCGATCATGCTGGTTCGCGAACTCGTTCAAATAAATGTAGGTTTACACGTTTGTACCAAATTTCATCAAAATCGGATCATTTTTGCTTGAGTTATCGTGCTAACGGACACACATATACAGTATATATATGTATATATCTATATAAATAAAATTAGAGTTTTGTCTGTACATTGCTCAGAATCATAAACTTTAAGGTTATTCTTACGTTTTATACATTAAAGAAACCGAAACAAGTCTCATCTAAATTTCTGTCTGTCTTCCTTTGTCTGTTACGGCCCAAGAGCCATTTTACGCGGCCATCTCCTGAAAAACGAGAGTACCTATCAAGTTCCTAATCATTTTAATGTATTAACTGGATTGGCGAGATTGTCTTTAGCCATTAAAATATGGCGTCACTACTTTTTAAATAAAATGACGGAAAAAACCCTATTTTGTGCGATTTTTGTAAAGTTTTCTCCCAATGTTTATTTATCTATGAAATAACGAACAGCTGTTCGAATCAAGATAATTTCTTCTAGCTGTCACTGATATGTTTACATTTAATGTTTGTTTACAAATACCGCAACCATTTCCGATCACGTTTTGAAAGCAAATCCAAACCAAGTAAGATTAAAAACGTGTTTCCTTACATAACGGATTTAACTAATCGCAAGTGCAATAATTTGTAGGGTAACCGTAAATGAAAATAGATATTTTTTTTGTATGAAATTACTCTTGAGTTTTGATAACCGGGAAAACGACCTTGAATCAGTGTGTTGTATATGGCTGGGAAACTTACATTTTTTAAATGAGTGTTTTCAGTCGAGACTCGGCACACTACCGACGCGCGTCTACATGTCCATAGTAAAAATAAAAGTAGGCCTACCGTGTATTTATGTTTTATTAGTCATGTGTATAAGTGTACAGTTTGTGTATGTGTTTTAAAAACTTCAAGACGCACCTAATGGGGAAGCTCAAGACCTTATATTAGGACTGATGATGGCGATTTAATTTCACCGAAATGCATCTCCTGTAATAAGATACATTAGGATCGACCGGCGGACACAGGTAATTTATTAACCTTTTATTGATTGTCATACCGTACCAATTCGGAACAACAACAAACAGCATAAAATGAAGTTATGTATAATAGTTTGGCCATCATATCTAAAAATATGCAAACCAACTGCTGTTCTTTATAAGAAGGTTTCAACTGAATACTAAGACTGAATACTGAAGATCCCCGTGCTTAGAACGGGTACACAGCTAGTATGTATATAAATATATATATATGAATTTGAACGGATGATGTTTTTGGCCTCTAGGGACCTTAAAAACGAAAAAAAAATCGGTCCCGCGTCCAGGTCTTACCATGAGTACTACGGTAATAGCTTATTCCCTATATGGGAAATTCGCTAAAATTTGGCAAATATATTTATTTCATCCTATACTATAGACGTATGGTCAAAAAACACTTTTTACCTTCCCCGTAGCAGCAAACCTAAACACTCATTAAATCTAATGTTATTAAAATTGGGAATAAATATGTCTTATTTATAGAAATATTTTAGTAAAAATGTAATCAGACAAGTTGAAATTCGCTTAGTCTGCAGGTTTGCTGCGGCGGGGGTATTTTTTATTTAATGTTTTTATTTAGATATAAGTGTTGGCAACAGCCACCTAACTAAATCCTTCTAAGCTGTAAAACCGAGTGAGTCGGTGGCTCAGTCGATAGCGTCGCGGACTTCGGGCCCAAGGCAGCGATGTCGTGGGTTCGGATTCTGGTCACTGCCACTAAAATGTATCAGTACAGTTCACCTTTGTACCTACTGTACCGGCTCACTCCTTGCTTTGCTATAAACGTTCCACGCACGGGCCCTTAGTCTATGTGGACGGGCAAATGCAAGGTTAAAAGAGGCCGCCAACCTCTTTTCATAAAAAAAATATTGACTCTATACTAAATCCGTCCGTTTCTAGAAATATCGCTAGCTATCTTTTAGCTATCTTTTATGATTTTAAAAGATTTAAAACCAGTTTGTTCAAATTGTTGTCAGATAAATGCTGCTACAAGATTGGGGACTTTTTCAATTAGATATTAGTATGTCAAATCAATAGTTAGTTGTAATGGTTGAACAGTAAGTAGTTGTAGGGGAGAAAGTGTATACATATAGATTATAGCTCTTAATTAATTAGTGTAGTAAATTTGCCAAATGTATAGTTATGTTTATTCTTGACTTGACACAATTCATGTATAGAAATGTACTGTTTGAATAAAGGATTTTTTGATTTGATATCTGTGGTATAATCTCAATGGTGAAACTTAGCCTAAGATCTGAGATATTATTTTATGTGTAGGCTGTAGGATTAAGGTTAAGTTACATGCTTATCTACATGTTTTCACAATTACAACAAATAGTTAATTGTTATTGTTTCAGTTACTCTCCTGAGATCTGCGGCCCCACCTCTTGTGATCTATCCTCTGTTCCTCCAACTGTCGTACAGATGGCCTCAGTTTGTCAAGACCTGGGAAATCGTTCAGGAGAAAATCACTCTGAGAGTTAGCTCTAGAGTTTTGTCTCGTAAAATTTACATCTACACTCTGATTTTTGCAAGCTTAAGATGTTGTAAGAATACAGATCATTTTTGTCAAATGGTTTTAAATCTGTTCATGCATAAAACATAAACAGTAAAAACATGTAAGCTTGAAAACACAATTTCATTGCGAGTTCAATATGACTTTTTTTTGTAAAATGTTAATACTTATTGTGTGTACGTATAGAAATTTAAAAGGTAGGGTGGATTTGTGAATTGATATGATAATAGCATACGTTTAAAAGCAATGAATTGGAGTCAAAGTCATCATTGGACCGTATATTATTTTACAGGTTTTTTCCTCTCAGGGTATGTGGTTGCAGGAGTTCGCATCATACAATGTGAAGGTGTCACCACTATCTACACCTTTGTGCACATGCTGTTCCAAGTTCGTTTTCCACATATCTTCTCAATAACCCCACCCACCTTTTGGAAGTGTATCACTTGTGCCTTTCTGGAGCTCATTTCAACTTTATCATGGCTGTGTGCGGAGCTGATTGTTCTTCACATTTCTCTCATCCTTCTAGAAAACTTTAGAGTGTATAATGTGCATCTAAAACAGTCAACATTTAAGGTAAATGTTATCTTTGGATTTAGACTTTCTTTAGTTTTCCAGTTGTTCTTGTTCATATTTTACTCATCTATCTATACTATTATATAAAAATCTAATGGTGTCTGTCTGTATGTGTATTACTAATAGGTGCGAAAACTACTGAAACAAACTGGCTTACATTTTACAAAAATATAGTTACCATACCAAGGACCATTATAGGACTATTCACACTTCAATACTGACCGTGGGCTTTGCCCCTTTGGCCTTAAAAGTTCTGAGGTGAGGATTTTAAAAGTAAATATTGATTGGTCACCATGGCTGCAATGATAATTCTCACAATGTTTACATTTGCTTTGACATTTCAAAATAAACAAGAAGAACTGCCAAATTGCATATTTTACAATTTAAGACAGCTGATCTAATGAAATTAAAAAAAATATACTATTTCAGACAATTATGTGGTTGGTTTATTTAATAAACATTTTTTTCAAAGATCATTTATTCAAAAACTATGTCAATGATTATAGGATATAAAAAATGGCTCTGCTTTCGATTTTAAAGTGTTATGAAAATAATGTTATTGATATATTTTCATGGAAACAGTAAGAAAATTAAAATGTATAGATGTTTTGTATGAATTTGGAGGCTACTTTAAATAAATTCGAACTGCTTAACATGTGTTAGAATAACTTAACATAACTTGCACATCACATTGTTTTTTTTTGTTTTTTTACATGTACCGGTATATTTAGGTAAATTTAGTTATTGTGTTTTGCTAAACCTGTTGTTGCTTAAATTAAACTAAAGAATATCATCAATAACTAAATTGTTCCTCGTTGATTTTTGTGTTCTAAAATCTGTTGTGTATGTGTAAGTATATTTAATTATCAAATGGTAATACAAATTACACTTATTTTATGTTAACATAGCTTTCAGTTCCCATTTACTTCATTTGATAAATTTATTATTTGTGTTTTGCCACACCACTGATTAAATTAAACCAAGGAAAATATCATAAAACTAAGCAGTACACAGTGTTCTTTTCTTTCTAAAATCAATGAAATATCCGTTACTATGTTTACTTAATGGTAAGTGTGAAAATGAAAAGACAATGGACGATGGAACTGATTAAAAGAACTGGTTTGTATATTAAGTTGTTTGATGATATTTTTGTAGAGTAGAATCAGAGATGCAATGAAACATACTGTATTTGCTATTACATTTTTTAGTCCTTGATGCTTTGATAATTTTATTACTTTTGTCTGGTGTCTTTAATGCTACTGCTACATTATTTGTTTGGATTTTGTTATAGTATATATATAGTTTCTTTAATATTTCAAAGACTATTGATAAGGCACAGCAATATTTCAAAAGTTTATAACAGCTGACTTAGTTTTGCTCATGATTTATTGTGAGTGAAGAAATTGAAGATGGAAGGATTGGTGATTTAATACAAAGAAGAGTGAAATTAAAAACATGTTCATTTAAATTTAATAGTTAGTATTTTTGCAGCTTCAAAGTTGAAGTTTAAAATGTCAAAAATAAAGAAAAAAGAAGGTAAATCATGTATGTGAAAGTTTATTCAAAGATTTGGCCAGTTTTTCTCATATCAGCCTACACAAGATTTAACATTATTCAAAACCAAAATGGTGGTATCCACTACTTACCAGATTTAAAAGTTATAACTTAAACGTTTATATTAAGGCCATGAAAGTTGAATTTTGTTTCTAAAAGCGTTGGCGGATGTGTAACTATTATACGCAACAGATGTAAAGATTAAAATGTTTCTATTTTGTGTCCTTTTCCCGTTGCAAAGCACGGGTACAACAGCTAGTATTCTCATATATGACTAGATGTATTACTATATCTAGATTAGAACTTACTATACCTATCTAATTTCTAGATCATACTAGAGTTGAAATAAATATCATGTCTGAGAAATAATCAAGCTGATGATTTTTGATTGAGTAATCTTGAACTTTAACTGTTTCAAAGAATCAATAGCTCAAATTAAAGTCTATATAATTTACTGATTATTTTAATAACATACGGTACGTTTTTTGGGGCGGAGCTAGCGTGGCTATCTTGGTGTCAGTTCGTTACACACGCAAACGCAGCTCAGTCGGCATATAGTCGCGCTAGTGAGAAGTTTTTGCTGTTCTCCGTGGTTGTAGGCTGTTTATCCCCTAAACACCGGGGGTATGAAAGTTTTGGAATCTTTTGAAAATTATACCTACAAACTCGGGGTTTAAGCTATTTAATGAAATGAGACAACAAATGCTTTATTTACATGATCTGAGTACAAGTTTTACAATACATATCCATAGTATAACCAGTTCATGATTCACACAGCAGGCTCGCATTTTTCCAACTTGGTCTTATAAGACCGTCAGCCGGGTTGGCAAACACATTGTAAATGCTAGATAAAACAAGTACAGTACATTTTTATAAATTCAAATTACCTTTCTGATGTACCATTAGGCCTATTTCAATTAAAACATTTTTTTTTATTTATTTTTTTTTTGTTTTTTTTTATTCTATACATTTATACATATATTTGTAACTTATACATTTCTTAAAACTAGAGAGTGCTTAGAGCTTGAAAAAGGTTAATAATTAAATTCTTGAACAATTTCCCACCTGTACCGCCAAGCTTGCTGTAGGAATCGGGCAAGCCGCACCCAATCAGCACCGTTCAACAAGGATATGAATGTATCCCGGGACAAATCCTCTAAACCAAACCAAAACATTCTAAAATGACGCAGTATCGGGCACTTGGCAACGAAGTGGTAAACATCCTCTACTTCTCCCAAATTGCATAACGAACAGTTATGATTTTGATTTTGTATCCATGGTTTATAATTTAAATATAATAATTCACCTCTACACTTGAAAATCCATTTAATTGTATTAAAATCCAACTTTGAAAAATGTAACCATTATCTTTCAAAACCAAACTAAGTGATTTATAAATAGCATGGTAGCGAGCATTCATGGCTGTCTGAAGGACACGCTGGCGATTGTTATCACGCAAACAACAGCTGACCCAACTGATATCTTGTTTCACTAATATCATTTTGTTCTACTGATAAGTGCACTGATAAACTTTCTGCTAAACTCTTCCATTCCCTATACCAAAATATCTGTTTTCTTATAACTTCATTAGCTAACAATTTTGGTAAACCTGATTCGGGCATATTTAATACTTTCAAAACATATTCAAAGTGAAGTTTCAACGTATGAATGAAAATCGGGTCTTGGTCTGTTTCTAAGTATATAATGTAATTAGGTGTGCATTGAGGTAAACAAAAAACCTTTTTGACGAAAAAACGTAAAAGTTGTTCAACTTCATTATACAGTTTAAAACCCCAAACTTGTGCGGCATAACACATTATTGATCTTACTACGGAGTAAAAACACTCAAATTTTAACAATACTGAAATGTCTTTATTTTTAAAAACCTTTGACCATAACGAATTTACTGCATTTTTTGAGGACGTTAGCTTTTGTTCAAAGTGTTTTTGGAAAGAAAACTTTGATGAGAAAACCACCCCAAGATACTTGTAATTGTTTACACACTCTATTAAATTTTCTTTATAACGCCACCGCTCGTTTGCTCGTAAGCCGCCACCATTCCTAAACACCATAACCTTGGATTTGTCAAGATTTACTACCAAATTCCAATCCTCACAATATTTTTGCAGATCATTAATCATTAATTGTAAACCCGCCGCCGAAGGTGACACCAAAACAATATATCATCCGCGTATAACAGAACTTTCACTTTGAAGTTTCCAAAGGTGCACCCACCCCCTAGAACATCATGTAGGTCATTTAAAAACAATGAGAATAACAAAGGACTCCCTAAACATCCTTGCCTCAGGCCTTTTGTTGTCTCAAAACACTCTGACACACCTTCCTTACACCATACACCTGCTGACGTACCATTATAGCAACTTTTTAATAATCTTATTATCTTTGAAGAAATTCCAATTGTATAAAGTTTATAAAACAACGAGTTTCTGTCAATCCGGTCAAAGGCGGCAGAAAAATCTACAAAAAAACAGTATAATTTGCCTTTTTTGACTGAGAGCCTTAGATTAATCATATTAGAAAGAGAGAAAACATTATCTACTGTAGAATAACCTTTACGAAAACCTGCTTGGTACTCACACAAAATATTTTTATCTGTAACCCACAATTCTAACCGGTTTAATATTACACCCATAAACAACTTAGCCACAGCATCCATAAAACAAATACCTCGATAATTAGACACCTCTCCAATATCCCCTTTTTATGTAGTGGATAGACAATTGACTTCTTAAAACTTTCTGGAACCTCTCCTGTATGTAAAATGTTGTTAAATAATTGAACTAAAATATCTGTTAGCCTCATTGGTCCAAATTTAAAAAAACTCATACGGTATGCGGTCGAAACCAGCGGCTTTATTTACTTTTGATGCCTGGATAGCTCGATTTACTTCTGAGAAACTAATGTCTTTATCTAGAAACTGATCAACTATTAGTGGTTCGGCAAATAAAAAGGTCGTAGTCTCCATCGGCGGATCAAGTAACATTTTAAAGTGCCGGACCCAATCCTCAACACTTATATTTGCTCCCACAAAATGATTTTTTGTTTTTAAATGCTTTACTGCTTTCCAAAAATCACTCATATTACTAGCCATCTTAATTTGTTGCAGCATATTTCTCTCATAGTCTAATCGTTTTACTTGCAACAAATTTTTGTACTGCTTATTTGATTCCAAGTATTCGTTTTTTGAAAATTCCGTGTTTAACCTACGGTAAATTTTTAGCAGTTTAAAACTCTTGTTCCTACTCTTATTGCAGTCCCTGTCAAACCACGGTTTCTTCTTTTTAAATCGCGCGTTACTAGAAATGCTCTGATTTCCCCGGAATGCCGCGGCCTTCACACACGCTGTTATCTTATCTAATAAAACATTTGGCTCCACATTTTTTACTAATCCTAGGGTGTCTAATTGTCTTTCAACCTTTTCTTTG